ACACACCATCATCCGAAATCGCACACACCATCATCCGAAATCGCACACACCATCATCCGAAATCGCACACACCATCATCCGAAATCGCACACACCATCATCCGAAATCGCACACACCATCATCCGAAATCGCACACACCATCATCCGAAATCGCACACACCATCATCCGAAATCGCACACACCATCATCCGAAATCGCACACACCATCATCCGAAATCGCACACACCATCATCCGAAATCGCACACACCATCATCCGAAATCGCACACACCATCATCCGAAATCGCACACACCATCATCCGAAATCGCACACACCATCATCCGAAATCGCACACTTTCGCCCCAAAGTGGACTCTATCGTCTGGAATCAATTGTGTGTCCAGCTTTCCTTTTACCCTTATCCAAATCTGTTCTTTCGCCGCTTTTCCTTTTATTGTTTTTTTTGCGACCTTTAAACTCGTAGCTGATCCTAGAGGAGAGGGGACAGGAGATTCTGCTGAGGACGAGGTAGCCATGGATACGAGTTCTGTGAACTCCGAATGGACTGAAACAGAGCCTGCAGTACAGCCTCAGGTTGGTTGACCCCTGACCTTTGTCATGGTTTTAATCCTTGACCTTACCACAATGACTAATTCACGTAAATGGTTTTTGATTGAATGACAGTAAGTTTTCCTCGCTTTTTGCAGGATTTTCGTTTGCTTTTCCACAAGTGTGCATTGTTACACTCACAGAGTCGCATGAATGAATTTTTGGAGGCAGGATTAGAGATGTTTCGTTTGTTTTTCATCGATGTGTATTACATTAAAGATCTAACAGGTTTGTGAAAAGTCGCATAATTGTTTTTTTGTTTTTTGTTTTGTAGTTACGAAATCAGACGTTATACGCGCCTGTGATTTATTTGCAATTTCTTTTAGACATGGCCTTGAAGTCAAGTAAATTTAGAAGGGAATTAAAGCAAAAGGAAGCGTTTGAACAGGACGAGTCGCGGTACCGCGCAAGTAAGACATTATTCACTAAATATATCTTATTAACCAAGCGCGAGGGCCGTACTGGGAGAATATTGGTTAATAAGAGATTTATTATACGACTGAAGTTCAAAGGGACACAAGTGCGGTATCATTCGGGACCATTCGGGACAGTGCCTGGTTCAATACTGAGAGAATATTGACCGGCAATAGAGCATTTTGATTGGTTAATTTTATTTATTCGTCGAAGGGCTAACGCTCGAAACGTCAGCTTTTGGAATCGTTACGGTGGCCAATTTACCACTTCAACTTTGTTGATATATCCGAATTATTACGATAGAAAAGTTTGTAAGGACGACTAGTTCGAGCTCTCAAGCATCACTGTTTACATGGAGAGAACGTGACTCAGTAGTAAGATGATTTATTAAGGTTATTAGAGTTATTAGAGTTATTTTTATTCTTATCTTTTATTACTATAATAATTGGGAAATTTTTGGTTGCTTTAGGTGTCGCGGCCTGTAGTCGAGGGGACACTGGACTGAGAATTGAGGAGTGGTGGGAAATGTTTAAAAATGTAAGGAACATTGTTAACTTCTTGGCAAATTTTCTCGTTCGATTGATTAATTGATTGATTGATTGATTGATTTGAGAAATCGTAGAGACTCTATAAGTTAGAGGTAGAGCATCTGAACGCGGACTCTCATGATCTCAGTTTGGGCTGCTCATAGGGGCTTACAATTTTTTCTTTGTCTCACGCGCGTGAGAAGGCGCAACACATCTTTCTTTGTCTCAATATCGAGCTTAAACAACAAAGAGGCTCGATTGTACATTACAATTGACAAAAGTCCGTTGTTTGATGTCCAGTATTTGTTTCTTTCTTCCCAGGTTGTATCAAATCTAAGTGGCCTCAAGCGGCACTCTGAGGCACAGCATATGGTGTTGTGTGCGCTGGCCTCTGATCGCTTCTCCGACTCTTATCAGACAGAACTGGTCTTCATGAGTATTGTAGCGTTTTACCTCAACAGAGAGTACAAAGTAGCCTTTGACGCAACAAAACTACTCATTGCGAGGGACAAAAAGAATCCAGTCTTATGGAATATACTTTCTCGAATTACCGCCAGATCTGGGGACAGCAGACATCAGCGCTATGTTTTGAGGCTTTTAATTAAAACTCCTGATGAGTTTCCATTAGTTATGTTCAGCGGTCATAATGCTCTGGTTAGCGGAAGTTACCGATTCGCAGTAGGTAGGGGTCCTTCCGTTACAGGCTAAGTATTTTAGAGCGGTTCAACCGAGTATTGTGAATCAGTTGTAGCAGCCAATCACTGCGCATGTGGGTGACTGAGTGCACCAGTCAGGAATAAGAGAAGCTGCACGGGAGCAGCTTCAGGGGCGGGAAAACTATGAGGTTTGAGCAGCGAAAGCTTCTTAGTGTAATGCGAAATAATTTGGATATATCAACAAAGTTGAAATGCGTTAGCCCTTCGCTCCGACGAAGGGCTAACGCTCGAAACGTCAGCTTTTATAATCGTTACGGTGGCCAATTTACCATTTCAACTTTGTTGATATATCCAAATTATTTCGTTACCCCCCCCGACGCAGCCCCAAACAGTTTCTTTCGAAACTATCAGCCTTTATTTATTAGTGTAATGCCAGCTTTTTAAACCAATTACAAGTATAATTTGGGAAAGTAAACGTCATTCTCAGTCACGAGGGGTAGTCGAGGAAAGAAAGAATCTGTTCTTTTAGGGGTGAGGTGCTTTTACAAGTGAATTTTCTGGCCAAATATCTTCTTTTCTTTTTTTTAAATTTCAGGCGAATACGTTCGAGCTTTCCGCCAAACCCCAGAGGATCCACTGATCTCGCTATGCTTAGGCCTGCAGTACATTCACTTAGCTTGCCAGCGATTTCCTAGAAACCGACACTTTTCTGTTGTGCAGGTAGCCTGTTTTTTCAGCTGGATATCAAATCGTTAAAACAAGGAATGTTTGGTTTTAGATATTAAAAAGAGAATCTAATCTTTTTTGTCAATAGGGTATCATCTTTCTTTTTCAATATCTCGGTCTTCGGGGCGAATGTCAAGAGGCGTTTTACAACATTGCACGTGCTTTTCATCAGATTGGTAAGTTTCTCTATGTTTGAGTTTAAAAATTTCCTTCATAGATGGCAGGCCCAATGGTTCCTTATCTGTAATCTTATAAATTAGCCGTTCTTTCTCCAAGAACATGTTTAAAAACAGCAGAATGTTCACTCAAAAGCGAAACCAGGGCAGGCTTATTTGTAGGCACATAGATACACTTCACTCAATGGTTTGACATGAAACTCGGAAGTATCTTTTGCGAGTTGAGTATTATTTTTCCCGAGCCCCGAAAGGGGAGGAAAAGTACGGGTTGTCACTGGCAAGGCGACGTAAAGAAAATAACGGGGATGGGTGCACAGGGAGGTGACTTACTTAGGGGAGTGGGGAATGCTTCTCAAGATTGTATGTACCTCATGTACCTTTTTTTTTTAGTGTTCATTATGTCTTTTTTATTACAGGTCTTCTTCAGTTCGCTGTCCACTACTACAACAAAGCTTTGGAATTCCCTTTGCACGAGGCCTCCAAAACCGACGGGAGTAACCCTGTCAAGGTATTGCTGGTCAGCACTATAGAATGTTTTCAATTCTCAATTCTCAATTTTCAACTCTCAATTATCAATTTTCAACTCTCAATTATCAATTATCAATTCTCAATTCTCAATTTTCAATTCTCAACTCTCAATTCTCAATTATCAATTATCAATTATCAATTATCAATTATCAATTCTCAATTTTCAATTCTCAATTTTCAATTCTCAATTTTCAATTTTCAATCCTCAATTTTCAATCTTCAATTTTCAATTTTTAATTTTCAATTTTTAATTTTCAATTTTAATTTTTTCAAGTTTCAATTTTCAATCTTCTATTTTTTCACGCGTCATTCTTTTATTTAGTTTTCAGAAAAGCACGATCTCCATAGAGAAGCAGCGTTTAATTTGTCTTTGATATATCGAGCAAGTGGAAACGAGATCATGGCCAAAGAATTGTTAATGAGTCATTGTTGGGTGTGAAGGACCATTTCGATAAACTTACTGCTCGTTGTGGGAGATGTGATGGCCGATCAGATAACACGCCGGTTCCAGTTCGAGAGGCGTGGGTTCGAGACCTAGTGGAGAGCATTGTGGTTGTGAGCAATACTCGCTCCATGCCTATCTCCACCTAGGAGTGTTAAATGAGACTGGTGAACTGTCAGGGAAGATGATTATTTTCTGGATGGTAGCCTTTGATGAATCACCAATGGAGTCAAAGGCAAGCTCTGTAGCCTGGTGAACCATGTGCCTCTAGTGCGGACCAATGTTCGTGCGATAAAAACTTGTATCACAAAAAATATATTTATACTTAAATATGTATTTTATATTATAGATATTTGTACATAAACGAATACGGCATTAGAAATAGAGAAAACGCCGTAGACCAAGCAAAATATTATTTAAAATGAAATTTTTAGTGCTTGTCTCAATTTTCCAAGTTGTTGTCTCTTCGTGTAAGAGCACTGTAAGCAAAGGGAGGTCCATTTTCTTTGCCATCAATCAATGTTTTTAAAGTACTTTTGATCCATAACTACATAAGGGGATCAAAAGAACACTGTTCTGTTTCAGACTTGCTTTGAGCATCTAGAGTGGGCTTGCGTTTTCTAGAATGTTCCTCATCCAAGCTTCTTTAAACTGTGCGTAGACGAAAAATGTAGTTTGCCCAAAGCGCGAGAAACTGGGCGCGAGCGGGTGACTGAAGAAGAGGCAGCTTTTTTTCAATACAGTTCAATTAGTTCTACATGAAGATGTGTGTTCATATGATGATTGCCATTCTAGGTATAAGCTGATATGCTACGAATTTTTAATTCTTACTCAGCTTTTGTACCAGATTTCTCGTCCTTATTCTGATGAACACGTGTAAAGTAGAACTTCTGTTTAATAAATAGACAAAGGGTTGAACTGTTTTTCTGCTTTTGCAAAACATTTATCTCACGTATTAGAATTCAATTACAACATTACTTCCCGTGTTTAAATACTGGGAAATAAAAAACGCCAGAGCGAATATTTAACTTGGGCATAAAACTTGATAAAAACATACTTCCCCAGCTCGCTCCATAAAATCACAAATGAATATGCTTCCTTTACAAGAAAGCAATATATAATTTATAATATATATTATATAATATAATAATATATGATATAAATCTGACTTCTGCGGTCTTTGTTGAGTGTTCTAGAAAATGCGATCTTGAAGTGGAAAATGATATTTCAAAAACTAAACATTTCATTTGTGAAATGATGCCAATTCATTATCTTATTCGTAAAGGAAACTTTTTCTTATCACACTGAAGTTAAACAAATGAGTCATTCATCACAGCTTATTCTGTGTTACTTCCTCGTTTTACTTCGTTTAATTTGCTGCCTCATCCGTCAATTTCAAACCTGCTTGATTTAAATCTGTCGGCGCGTGAACTCTTAATTAAAAATCAAAGAACTGGACTTGTGCACCTTTACAAAAGTTTTTTTATTTGCAACTCAGTTTTTTTAAAAGCTGTTGAAAGCATAATGAATAAACATTGCTTTTGACATGATCGAGAAATGGTAAGGCAAATTACATTCGGTTTCATGAGGAACGATTTCTCCTTCATCCTGAAAAAAGTACTGCGTTGTCATTTGTGAAAAAGGAAGAGAAGAGTTTAAGTGTAAATGTATATATTTTATTCACTGAGAGTTTTTGTAACTTAATCCACAGTAGTTTCAAAGTTAACTGGTTGTCTTTAATAAATGACTACGAGTTTAGTCAAGTTTCATCGGCGTTAGTGTAACAGAACATATTAATTTCTCCCACTATTACCTCGATATCATTATATTATTCACCATGATCTAGTCTCAAGAACGTTTGGTTTTTATATTTTAAAAATATTTTTGTCTTGTAGATAGCACGATTTAATTGCAGATTATTATGACAATTTTTCTACAAACCTATCCTCGAATTTATCGATCCCTTCCTAACTTTAAGACTGTTGTTAGTACTTTTTCTTCGTTTTGACATAAAACTTTACAGTACAGAGATTTCTGCAAGCACAAACTATTATCATTTGTTTCCAATTTAGTATTTGATCCTCGTCGAAATGTATTGAGTTACACTTTTGTATCAGTTGATCCAAATCTGTCCGAACATTTTGCTACTTTGGTCTTCAAACAAAGAATCGTTCCTCGCAGGAGAAATGGGTTAAATTTATTACATTAAAACTATCTTGGTGTTGTTTCCGATCTAGCTGATAAGGAAACATACTTGTTGAATAAACCGAGAAAAATGTGAGTTTTTATCCAAATGGTCTACAAAGCTCGGAAAATCCCTCCCTTAGGCCAGCATCCATTAAATTGTAACCAAGCGTTCAGTTTCAAAATTCGATCGTTACAACTGAGTTTAGAGACAGAAAGGATCCGTGTTAGTGTCTTCTGCTATAATCAGGTTTTTACTCGTATTTGTGAAAATGTAACTCGTAAGCATTTAAGAGGGTTATTTACTTTGTTATCAAATGATATGGAATTCAAACTCGTCTTTGTTCGGTTATTGTTCAGGATTGTTGTCGATTTGCTTTGAATTTGTGATACAATGGAAAACTGCCTTCATTCAACGTCTTTTTAGTCAAATTCTAAAGTGAAAGAATGATGCATTTCTACTTATTATTACTACAAAAAGCGGTCACCATGATCAGTCGCATTCGACTAACATTATTCTTTTCTCGTTGCCATGTTCCCACCAATAACGTAGCTCCATTTTCTGCCTTTAAAAGCACACACAACCCACAATTCCTCTATTCGCTCCGACGAAGGGCTAACGCTCAAACGTCAGCTTTTGTAACCATCATGGTGGCCAATTTACCATTTCAACTTTGTTGATATATCCAAATTACAACATTATCCTTGAAGGCTATGGCATTAAAAATGGCATTGAGTACCAAGAAATCTTTATCAGATCAAAAGACAATTTATCGTATTTTTTTTTAAATTATAGTTTTAGCTTAACCAACCTTTTCCGATTTTCAACCGACCTTACTTTTTGTTAAGATACTATAGATAACTGCTTTGTCATACGCTTTATCAAATCGATTGTTAGAGCCGTGTTAAACTGGGTGTGGAAATCATTCTGAATTTACGTTGATTTAGCCCCACTCCAATCTGTGATTGGTCCAGAAAACTTGCGCTGCGTTCTCAACCAATCAGATACAATATTGAAAAACAAACCCGACGCGGCTAACCACTTCTTCTCGCGCTTGAAGTCATGTGATGTTGACCTTATTCTTACGACCTCCATTTAGCTCGTATGTCTTGTTTACAAATTTCAGGTCATATGATAATACTCGAGAGAACTGTTTCTTCCAAATGTCCTCTTGTCCACGTGCATATGCACTCATGATTTACAAAAGATAAAGCTGGCAATTCCCTCGAGACCTGAAATGGTTAAACAAATATGCAAGCTAAATGGGTCCCTGATTGGCCTTTAAGAATTTCTTAGAGGCCATAGATAAAACTCAGCACTTTTTATTTGAAATATAATTTGTTTACCTCCTTTTTACATAGATTTAATATCCTGGATAAAGAAGCGGTGCTCTTGTACAAGGCGCCGATAATTTTTGCTCTTCTTTTCGCAACGTTTTCCGGCTTTTTCGGAATCGGGAAGTGCTTTTATCCGAAAAGGAAGAGCATTAAACATAAAAGTTTTTCAAGAAGAGAACATATTTCCAAGATACATCCCTAAAAACACAAACAACAATTTAAACGGCGTACCAAACGCAATTAGAGGTGAGTAAAAACTAATTAATATTGTTAAAACAAAGGTTATTATTTCATGTTTGCAAAAACCAATTATGCAGATTTTTCGTGGACTATTTCTTTTCTTAGCATGCCCAGGTGCGTAGTTGCTGTGGAATTCACGCCTGAGTCAAGGCGCTGAGTTCTAAAAGCTTTAATTCTCTCTTTGCTGAGACGGTCCTTTTTTCTCGTATATAAAACTGTGATTTCTTTCGTCGCAATATTTATAAACATCTCCTATATCCTATATTAGATGTTTCTCAGTGCTTCTTCTAAATTTCCAGTATGTTCATGATCTATCTACTGTGAACAAACAGTTGTTAGGAAGAAAGTCTTTGAATTATCTCTAGATTTTATCGCCACAGGTCGTGCCGTTCTATTTTGAGATGGAATATATTAATGCAATAAAAAGTGGGAATAAAAATTTGTAACATTTTCGTAGCCTAGCACAATTCAAATGGTTTCAAAGTAGAGTTCATGCGATCAATATCATCAGTTGACTTCCACTGAGTTAAAGTAGGGGTAGATCCGTAGTTTCTCAGACACTGACTTTGGTCGGGACCTCTATAGCAATGTAGACTAGGTTTTGCAACGGGTTTGTACACCCCAAAGGCACGAGAGAACACTACTGGTACATTATTTATAAGATCCTGGAAACCAACCTTAAGGGAGACAAATTCTCTCTGTTACGCATCATGGTAAAACGTATATATTTGGCTGAGATTTTCAGCGTTTAATATACCATAGGCAATTTATGGAGAGGTTTGCGGTTCCATGAAAAAACTGCAGCGTTTTCTGCTGACGCCAGCGTTGTTTCTATTTAACAAATGAAGTGGCCTAGACCGTGCTTTTTCTGTTTTAAAGCACGCAAGAAGCCACTAGAGCACGAAAGAGGTGTACGAGAAACACGAAACTCTATATACCACACAAAGGTTAGCTGTATTTGAGTTATATTTCCGTACTTAAGCTCACAATCTGAAGGCGTGAAAACCGTTCAAAAACCTGGCTAGTCTGTTTCATTACGTTTCTACTCAATTTCGGCGCTTGGCATGTTTACAAACCTGGCTGATTTTTAAGTCAACAAGGTTAATACTTTAAAGTATTCAAAGCCAGTTAATTTGCGTCCGTTTTCGCACGTACAAACACGCAAAGTCTAAAGTCTCTTTTAAGCGGAGCTCGTTAAGTAAATGAAGACTTCGGCTTACTTTCTGATTTGACTTTTAAAAACATTTTTTGTTTTTGTCATTACCTTTTAGACTCACACCGGCACCGCCAATTAATTCATTATTAATACAACTTAAAATTTTTCTTAGACTCATTTGTCTGGACCGACTATATATTAGTTGTCACTTTATGATTTTTGAGTCTCTAATTATTTTTCATGATTTTTTTTTAATTACGCACGAGAAAATTGCTAACAAAAAAAATCGGTGTGGCTATCTTAACCCCACGAAATTGTCGTTAGCGGTCTTAAAATTTATAACATTGATCGGCACTCTTTGGTATGAGATAATGTTTGCATTACGTCTGAATTAACCTCGAGATCAAAACCACTGTTATGAAGTGTACGAACTAACCCTTCAGAATTTATGATTTGCGGGTTTTCAGGATAGAGCTGTTAATGTTGTTTTACAGCAAAAATGATTGTGGTTGGGGTAAAAGTTCTGCCCAAAGACACTGAAATATTCCATGCAGAGAAAATTATTTTAGTCGGTTTTTCATAGTATTGAGATTTCTCATTCGATTAAAATGCTTAATTCAAATGATATTTTAAGCAGCATATTTTTCGGGTACAAAATACGGTGAAAGTCTCCCAACTAGAAGTATATATGCCATTACTATATCTCTTCGGCAATCTTGTACGCATCGATTATAAACAAAAGGGGTTTTGCTCTAGCTGCCGCTTTCAGTGAATTCTACAAGAGGTGTAATAAAGTTTAACAAGGGGAAATGTTTTTCGTTGATTGTACAAACACAAAAAACCGTCACCTCTAAAACTGGTCGCAAAACTTTGATCTTAGGACGGTTTTCAGTCCAAAGGACGCGTTTTCGGTGAAAATTTTTCAACGCGATGTTTCGTTAAAGGAACTTTAGTTTTTATTATATCTAGAATATTTCAGTCTTTGCACTCTGCACACACACAAACAAAATACGTTATAGCAGTTTGGTAGAATACAATAATACAATCGTTTAGAAATTTGTACGAAGATTAAAAGCGGCGAACGAAAGCCTATTGCCGTCGCAGAAGACCCACGACTATTAAAGGTGATTAATTAAAATTGTTTGTTCCCGGCGCTGAACAGTGTTCCTTTCAACTACGATTTAATGAAACATAACCAAAAAAAAAAAATGAACCGAAAAAGAATTACCATTTAAAATGCTGGTGCGCATCAATCAAGCTCGATAAAGCCGTCGCTTTTGTTATAAAAGGAAAGCAGTGAAAGGCAACTTTAAGACACCATTCGTCTGGTGGTCTAAGTACGTTTGACGCCAAATAAGGAAAGAAATAGCAGAAACACTATTTCCAGGGTAAGAAACTGTACTGATATGTCTTCAAAGGAATTTTTGATTATAGATGTGGTTGCGTGTCGCGATCCAACCGCGGTTTCGCTTTTTATAGTTGTAGAGGATCCAGTTTATAAATGTAGGATCTTTAAAACGGTTAAATACCGTATGACGCATCTAATAGATTCTTTTTGGAAGAATTTCTGGATGGGAAAGTTTTTTCTATAGTTTTGCAGCAAAATCTAGAATTTCAAAACTTGTTTTAAGACTGTCAGTTTGAATATGAACATGAACCTCCACACAACTTTACTTTTCGTAAATATTTTTACAGGCTAGTTTCCCTATGCAGAAAAGAGTTTTCTAATTAAAAACGTCCGTTCGTAACCGAACCTTTTTCTTCATTCGTTTTCCTTTCTGCTTTTCTGATTTTCTACGGATGTTTTCTTAAAAATCAAACATCGGTTTCAAGGTGCACTGTATAATATGCCGAAGTAGACGGATAAATTGCGGTTTTAACTTCTATTGCTGTAATATTCGGCCTTTTATATTTGAATAGTTCCTTTCTCTCGCTTGAGAAACTTGACCACTGAAAGGGATGATTGTTGTTTGAATGAGAAAGCAGATGTTTATTTCCTTAGGGTAGATTAAGTTGTAGTAAACAAATATATATTAGTATTGTTCATTTGATTAATTTAGGAAACTTTTAAAGTTACGGCTATTCTGGCTGCAAACTATAACAAATATCACAGTACATAACATTTTCCATCCATCAGATAATGCTATACTCGATAAAAAACCAGTGGCGGATCCAGGGGGAGGGTTCGGGGGTTGCGGACCCTCCCTATCAAACGTGACGCTTACAACTTTGAGACAGGATCGTACATCACTTTTAACTGGCTGACGTTTTTTAATGAATCCAAATAAACGGTAAGCGGCCAAGGAATTATAACGTGCAACCGCGACTGGTGGGAGGGGGTGTGGGGGAGAAGTAATTTGCCTCAAAGAGTCCAACAGTCCTTTCTGAACCAAAGTTTGGACCCCCCCAATCAAAAATTCCTGGATCCGCCTCTGAAAACCCTCGGCGCACAAGAAATGTTCGGTCAAAGGTGACAAGGGTAATTAAACGACGGTACTGTGGCCCAGGTTTAAATACTTAACTCAAAAATACTTGAATGGCCTTACTTCATCTTACTGGAAACATTTTGACCGGTAAACTATGAAAGTTTCGGCGTTTTATCAAACCAGAAATATTGAATGAAATCGTGTCAGTTCTCGTTTCATTTTTAGACGTAAAATTTACTGTTAAAATACTTGATAAAACATTTGGGATCTTTCATTCATTTCCCACGAAGCCTTGTCAACAGTTGTCTGGACAAAAGTATTGTATACATTTGGGTATATATTTTAGAGATCGCGAGGAATTTTCCACAACTTTTATCAACCTTTATAACTTCATTTCTACTGAGCAGATCGTCGGTTTTACAAGGTCAACACAAGGTCTAGAAAGCTTTCCGCATGAGCAAGTCTCGGGGAAGATTCAACAGCAGTTAAAATAATTTCCTTCTTTTCGTACTTAATTTAATATTCATGAATCCCTCCTTTCCTCATATCAAGTGATTAATAGGTTGTTACTGGTACAGTGACCGTCCGATTAAAGTAAAACTTCAACTGATTTTTGTGAACAATTGTCAGTTTTGACGGAAACACTATATCTTCTGCTATCAAGGTAATCTTACTATACGTAAAGTCCGCCAATCAGTTCTGACAAAGATTATAATATTTGTGTTCTAAATAATAGATGACAACTGTGTTACAAACCAAGGTCAGTCGAGAAAAATCAAATTGCAAGGATAGTCATTAGCAGCAGCCATTTCACTATCCGTGCAACGGTTTTTCTGTTGTGATTCATATTGGGCCGTAACTTTTCACCCAAGTACGTCATTCACAATCTGTGCAAACTTTCAGTTCATCCCCAGTCATCCTAGTTCCTTCTTGTTTTACTTTCGTCTCTTTTGAGTTTCTCTATCTTACCAAACTAACATTTTTGTTTTCATTGAATCCACTCTTTTCGATTTGAGGTTTTTCATTTTCCATGAACTAATATGTTTGTGCTTTCCTTTACGCTCTCAGCCAATTTGCTTTTAAATTCATCTCTAGGTCTAAAGATAATTTACTGACAATGAAAAAGTTTCTTCTGACAACGTTGGCCGTTTTGTTTATCACTGTCACACTCTTCGGACAAGTGCAATGTGTTCTCAGGGCTGGAAGAGACGATATCCTGGTTCCTAAAAAAGCTGTTCGGAAAGAACTCGAAAAACTGCCTAACCAAGTGAAATCAGTTTACGCCAGAAAATCAGGTTACAGACTTGCAAGGCCTCTGGGATATGAAAATGAAGGTAAGTTAGGATCAGTACCGGCCAAACACCGTCTGAAAATTTAGATCTGATGATTCGCCAAAAAAGTGTCATTTTAATCTTTATCGACCTATTCAGTTGATACCTGAATAATGGTTTACCTGACGATTCCACTGAAGGAGCTTAATGTTAGCTTAATCTGACACAACCATCAATTGCATGAAATACGCGTTATTTCCAATTGTGATTGGTTTACAAAACGTGTGCTCTCAGCCAATCAGACGCGAATTTAATACCAAAACTTGCTCACTTCTTTCGAGTCTCAATTTCTCCTTGTAACATCTACCTTTGTTTTCATTGCACCATGAGATTGACTTGTTTTGGTTATACAGTTCTCAATCGCAAAGTAAAAATGTAAGGGAGCTTTATACAAGAACTTGAACAACTCAGTTGTTATCGGTTTCTCTACACACCAACTAATAAGGAAACCACGAAGAATACTTTTCTACTCTTAACCCTTTACACCCCAGCATCAGAATGCGTATTCTCCATACTGTTCTCTATGCAAGGAGATTTCTCTTGCTAGGAGAACTAATAAAACAATCAAGAGCTTCTTGGCTTCTTGGCTTCTTGAGTTAGTCGGCACTTTCTATATTCTCATAACCTTTGGGGTTAAAGGATTTTCTTGAGTTAAATTAATTTATTCCAAAACATGATTAAGTGTTTTAGAATAAGCTTTAAATTGATCTTTAGTGTTCCTTTTTCTTTGGATTGCCTGATGTTTTTAATCTGAGTTTTCGATTGTTCTCTTTCAGATGTTATGAACTGACGAACATGGAATGTGAAACTCATTAAATTCAACTGGAAGATGAAAATGCCAGCTATTTTAATCAAAATTAGTTGTTTGCTCTGTTATTAGATCATATATTCTAATAAAATTAATTGTATCTTGTCGTAATTGTATTCAATTTGTCCGATCATTTCAGAGTTTTCATGACAGAAAAATAAGAGGAGGCAGGCATTACCTCTGATAAGAGGTGATGTTGATTTAGTTTTTTTGCAGTGCATGGCTAAGGAATGTAAGGTAAAGGTAAAGTCTGTTTATGAGCCTAGTGGCCCATTAGGCCGGTGCTTAACTCCAGTTTCTGTAGCATGAAGCGACTAGGAGTATTTCTACTCCCCCC